CATGTTCTCTAAATTGCTTTTACCGTGGAACCGATTCAATGACCCGAATCTGCTATCCTCTGGTGGGATGTTGACACTGACTCAGAAAAGTGCTAAGTGCTTGCCCAAAACCGTCTTCAGTGGATCTTCGGTTGCACAACTAGACCGATTAATAGTAATGACCGATACTATAGACCATACGAGACCTAACGATACTCCTAGTCAATTACTTCATTACTTTATACGGATATTTCAGAGCATTATTCGAATTCCGTCAGTGGTGTAGGTAGATAGGATCTCAGTGTAACAAGTTTAGTCACATACCTATTCCAAATCGATCATTCTGAGTATATAGGTATATCTATAACTTGGTAGATTTCAATGCAAACAAAACACAAGCATGTCTTTTCTCTAGAAAAGCCGATTTCACTGTTCCCAACATAAGCTCTTCAGGAGTAACCATACCTGTGAAGACATCCATTTCGATGCTTGGTATTACTATCAACAATAAATTTTCTTGGTAAAATCACGTGAGATCAATTGCTAAAAGTAAATCCCAAAAACTTGGTTTCCTGTTTCGGGCCAGGAGCTATTTCACTTCCAGTCAGCTTCTTATGATCTATAAAGCACAGATCCGCCCGGTCCTGGAATACTGTTCTCATATTTGGAGTGCAGCACCCAAACATACCCTAAAACTGTTGGAGTCTGTCCAAAAAAGGGCAATTCGTCTTGTGGGTGATGCCTCGCTCACAAACCCACTCACTTCTCTGGAACACCGTAGAAAAGTTGGCGATCTGGCTCTATTTCCTAGATATTTTCATGTCTCTTCTGAAATATCAACAATTGTTCCCCCCTTGGCAGTCCCCACGAGATTAACCTGTGGAGTTGAGGCCACGCACCCCTTCGTGGTCACTTTGGAGACCTGCAGGACATCTCTTTCCGAAGACTCGTTCATCCAACGAACAGCGAGGCTCTGGAACACATTGCCAAAGGAGGTGTTCCTCGAGGTATATAACCTCCAGAAGTCCAAGAAGAACACCAATTCCTACCTTATTTCCCTTGGTTCTCACGATGTTCTCTGAACATTACAGGATATCCCTTCTCGTGGAAACCAAAACATGAAAAAAATAGTATTTATTTAGTACATTCCTCCGTTATTCAAAATCAACATATATATATTCTTTCAAGAATTAAAATCTGCATCTTGGAAAAAAAAACGCCAGCTCCCGAGTCGGATTCATGTGGACCTCTTTTGAGTTTGGTAATAGACTTCTAGTATAAATTTACATTTTGATCTCCATAATAGTTATAGGTTATTTTCTGACCATTGAAAAAATGAAATGAAATGTTTCACTGAGAGCAATATTCTGATAAAGCGACTCAATTATTCAGTCCGCATGGGATGGATAACAATAAATGGAACAAGATTTATAACTTTATAACCTTACAATGCACCAATAACAATATAACTATCAGAACCTCAGACTTAAAATCAGTAGTCATTATGAGGTAGATAACAATAAGAAGATGTTATTTGATGTTATTTGATTCAAGATGAACTTATAGCGGCACCGCAAAGTTCCGTAGTAGACGAACAATAATCATAATGGGAGATCTGAGAATTTCCATTGTTTCAATATCTAATTTAGTATTACCAATTCGAATCAGACTGTTTTGTGAATGAATAAGGTTCTGCAGTGTCAAATATGTAAAGAAAAGTTGGTAGAATACCCCGACAAATGGTTGACATCTATACTTCTTTGTATATACAGGGTCGCTGATATGTATGGAAACAGGTGAATATCTCGGTAACCTGTTGTTGGATTTTTTTGAATTTATGTACTGTGTGATTTCAAAACGTGGCAGATTTGAAAATGTTATAGCCAATGTTGCCACTTTTTCAGTTATACCGGATTTTTCATTAACTTCCTTATTTTGAATAGAACACCCTGTAATTTATTGGATTTTCAAATTCTCCCTGAAGAGCTAATTCCATCGATCTATCACACTTGGGGTCTAGCAGGAATGAATACATAGGTATAGGGTGTTTAAAATCTAGATTTTTCAACTTTAGTATTTTTTTGTGTCGAAACTATTCATTATCGATCAAAACCGCTCCAATGTTCCCATCTTTACTTCTGATTTACTATCTACTGACATTTAATTGAAACAAATACAGGGTGGTTCAAGATTCAGAATTCTGATCACCCTCTCTGTATCTGTTCCAATTAAATAGTCAGTAGATGGTAAATCAAAAGTGAAGATAGGAACATTGAAGCGGTTTTGATCGATAATGGATAGTTTCTACACAAAAAAATCTTGAAGTTGAAAAACCTATAGATTTTAAACACCCTATACCTATGTAATCATTCCCGCTCGACCCCAAGTGTGATAGATCGATGGAATCAGCTCTTCAAGGAGAATCTGGAAATCCAATAAAGTACAGGGTGTTTCATTCAAAATAAGGAAGTTACCAAAAATCCGGAATAACTGAAAAAGCGGCAACAGAGGCTATAACATTCTCAAATCCGCCACGTTTTGAAATCACACTGTACATAAATTCAAAAAAACCTAACAACAGATTGCCGAGATATTCACCTGTTTCCATACATATCAGCGACCCTGTATATCTATGTCTTTGTATGATTCATAACGCTCAGCTTTCGATAAATATTTACATTTTTTGGATCGACAAAAAATTCGAATTCCTCTTGTCAAGTCTCGAACAATTGAGGAAGATACGCCAATGCTATTTCTCTTCTTGGCCATGTCAACCGCGCAAAACTAACTTACAATCTTCATTAGCAATCAATTATATTGACGAGTCTGGAATTCAGTCAGTTTGGTGTAATTAAAGTATGCTGCGAATTTATTGGGATTGTTTTTATTGACCAGTCAATGGAATTGGGTAATTTTTTTTTCAATCGCTGAAGAAACCGAACAATTACGCTCCAATCGAAAAGACCAAGGAGAACAGTAAATTGTAAAAGTAATATCCAATAAGAAGATCCAGGTGACCTGAACTAACCTAACCTGACCGAGTTTTTCAGTTTCTCGATGCAAAAATTATCTTCAATTTTCCATCGAAATTCGTAACCAAAAGCATCATATTTCTCGGTCTTCCTAGATAAAACACACATTTGGATATAGATGATTCTCACTTATCCAAAGTTATTTGGTGAAAGAGGGGATCAAACACCCTAAGTGAAATTTGTAGTCATACCATACTGAAATAAATCAAGATGGAATAACTAGGACAAACTACCATCATACGGCTTACCACCTCAGCTATGCCATCTCTTATCGAGTTTTCTTTCAGGCAGATCGCTTCATGTGGTGGTGGACGGTGTATCGTCTGATACCATTGACATCAATTCCGGCGTTCCACAAGGATCAATTTTGGCACCAACATTATTCCTGCTTCATATCAATGATCTTTTGGGAGAAACAACTTGCCCCATCCACAGCTTTGCAGATGATAGTACCCTCCATACTGCGTTCTCTTCCAGAATTCCCATTTCTTTCCAGGAAACTAAGAACTCACGGCGCAGGCAGGTCAATGCTGTCAATGAAGATCTTGCTGAAATCACAGCCTGGGGAACTAACAAGCTAATTGAATTCAACGCTACCAAAACTCAAGCCTGCATTTTCTCTAGAAAGGCGGAACTCAGTATGCCCGATATTGTAATGTCTGGCTCCACCATCCCCACCAAACCCACCATATCTATGCTCGGTATTTCCATCAGCCACACTCTTTCATGGGATAATCATGTCAGATCCATCGCAAAATCTGCTTCACAAAAACTCGGATTCTTGTTCCGTGCGAGAAGCTACTTTACACCTCAACAGCTTCTCATGATCTACAAAGCGCAGATACGGCCTGTTCTAGAATACTGTTCCCACATATGGGGTTCAGCACCAAAACATACGCTGATGCTCTTAGATTCCATCCAGAGAAGAGCCATTCGCCTGGTAGGTGACGCCACACTCACTCACTCTTTGACATCATTGGAACACCGTAGAAAGGTCGGCGACCTTTCACTTTTCTATCGATACTTCCACGGGAAATGTTCTTCGGGAATCTCTGCTATCATCCCTTCACTAGCAATACCAATCAGACGAACTAGACAATCCCAGTCAGCACATCCTTTCGTTGTCAACCTCGAAAGATGTCGAACAGCCCTTTATCAAGACTCCTTCATCCATAGAACGGCTAGGCTCTGGAATTCATTGCCTGTGGAAGTATTCCCAACAACATATAATCTCCAAAAGTTCAAAAAAATTCCAATACCTACCTCCTGTCCCTATCCTCCCTAGGAACGCACGGTGTTCTTTGAACATTATAGGGATTCCCTTTCGTGCGCTTCAAGCGATAAAAAAAAAAACATCAGGAATCAGTCAACCTACATTAGGTATACTTTTAGGAGACTATAAAGAAAAACACGATCGGAAGGCATTGCTAGCTGAAAAATCACCAAGGGAAGCTGAGTCTTACACACGCTTGGGAAGTGTTGGAGCTTCATTGTGTACTATTTTTTCAATTATCTGGCATTGAAACTATAGTCCGGAATAATTACCATTCCTGGCGTAGTAAAAAAGGGGTCACAATAATAGATCTATTACCTCGTAATGTAATACAATCCGAAAGTTCTTTGAATATATCCACTATAAATATCATGGTTTTGACTTTTGCTTTAGATAACCATCCTTATTATTCCATACATACGTCATAGACTCTTTTTTTTCAACCACTTGCTGTATAACCTACTTCGTCAAGACGTAAAGCGAGATTCGCATTATTTTAGAAGCACCCCTTGAATTTGTTCGGTGTTATTTAGATACACCCTGTATATGTATAATGACGGTTTCAAGAACTTCCAAGGTCCAAGTTTGAAACGAAGCAAACACTTTGTACTGAGATATTATATCATATCATAGGTGAATCATATAGATCATGTGGTCATGGAGTAATGGTTACAGTGTATTCATGATATGATATGATTTCTAGTTGATATCTACAGATCGGTTTACGTTTTACGTATGGAAAATTTTACTCTCAAGTTCGATCACGATTCTCATAGACAAGATTTATATCCAAGACATGATGCCGGTTCATTGGGATTTATCGATAGACATCGTTTTAGGAAGATTCTAAGTTGGTATTGTGCAAATGCTCCACTTGCATTGAATTACGATTTCAGAGATGTCTGCAGTAAGTAATGCATGAAATATATGCAGTATCGTGAAATCTAAAGAAGGATAAGGATTTCATAAATAATTTTTAATCCAAGAGAAATTAAAGGCGTACAATATTTTTTTCAAAAAATCTCCAGGATACATCCCTCACGTACGTAGGAATATGAACCAAGAAATCGAACGATAAGTTGTAGTCAATCAGAAAGTACGTACATCTGGAAAATAGTGTTGGCAATGATAATTCCAATATGAATCATCTGCTTTACCGCGAAATTTATCTTCTTGAGAATTCTCATGATCCAGATCGATTTGCAAACAATAAGATTGTCCTCAGACCATAAAAGTTGATTCTACCTAATATGAGAAAACAACTCACAACATAAAATTGTACTTTCAAATTTAATCGACCATCTCTTAGAGCATCCTTGTACCAATAAGAAAGAAATTTGATATTATATACTTTCTGACCTTTTTGGTTACAATTTTGCAAGTGTACAAATGATGGCTTCATTGCAGATGTTGTCTCAAGCAGCCGTATCCATTTATGAAAGTAATAGGTTCTCATTATGTTTTTTATAGCGGGAGATTGTATGATAGTTCAATCAGAACTTACACGTTCAAGATATTCTGTCAAAGCCTGTGTATTTGGCAAGAGGAATCTTCAGTTGTATTTGCTTCATTCATGGACAGATAGAGATAGCCATAAAGCCATATTGAGGAATATTTATATGTTAATTCGCTTTTATAGATGTTTACTGAAGATTAACTTTGCTCCTTCTGATCCCAAAGTATTCTATACAGTAGCAATGTTAATCATACAGAGATTCTATAATGCTGATTATTTTCTTTGTACGATTTAAAACCAATCAGATCGTTTAATTGAGTTGAGCTACCTTGTATAATTTCGAATATAAGTTCTATCGCTAAAACATCGCCGCAACTTGTCTTCTAACCTTTTTGCATAAAATTATCAATAATAAAATCAACTCTCCATAAATCCTGTCATTAATACAATTTCATGTACCCCCTAGAAAAACCCGATCATGTGTTATGTTTAACATTCCACTGGTAGCCACAGCAGCTTCCGCCAGATCTCGTATTGTATCCATGTTACGACTGGTAAACGAATATAATGTATTTATAAAATAAATATCGATTATCGATTTGACTAAGTCACAAAAAACCTATAGAACTGCAATATTAGAGCACATTCTAGCTTTATCAATTCGAAGTAGCCCCATATATCAATCTACTTATCATTTTATTAATTAGTAGATAGAAATTTTAAATCTCGATGCTGATCAATCCTTGATTCCATGGTTGTCTCACGTGTAAATTTCCGTTTTTAATATATGTATAGCTACTTTCCTGGCTATTTGCCACGTCGAACATTGAATTATATCTGTTGAACATACAAAAAGAGAGCATGAAAAATGAAAATCCTCTGAAATTGAGAATTGACATCATCTCTCGAATCAGATAAAATAATATGATGTATTATGATATAAAAATATAACACAAAGAAGAACCAGCATCTGAAATCTTCAGCAGAGACAGCTTGATGGTATACCTATTAAAAATAATTAGATGAGTTGAAATTATTTCAAAAGTGTCCGCGGAAAATTTGCAACACTCTCATTGGGAAAGAGAGGACCACTTCCCTTTCTGGAAATTACCTGTTATTTCCTAGTGCTGAATTATCTCAATATTTAATTATCATTCACAGCAGAATCTGAGGTGGGTATTCATTTTTTTAATACTGATGGGTGTTCAACAGACGCATCAGTTGATAGTCTGCGGGACAATAGCCAAAATAGTAATTGTTTCAAGTTCAATAATCCAAAAATAATTATTCAAGTTCTTTTGATATATACAAGGTGTTTCATAATTGAATGCTGATCCTAAAGGGCGATGATCCTTGGATGATTTTAAGGAGAGAAGTTCATATCAACATATGTCCCGAACCTCTTAGTTTTTGAGCTACAGGGTGTTGAAATCAGAAGCGTACAGCGTTTTTTTAAACTAAACATTCGATATCAGGTCTACGAGGACATCACTGGTTAAAGTAAAAGTTTGATTTTCGTCCCAAAACAAAATGTGTTCCCACTCATAGTGGGTGTCTACTGAATTACCAAAAACAATATCCAAGAATTGAAGGAACAAAATTCTTTGGTTTTTATTTTTTTTTACGCAAAAACGGTACGTTGTATGAAAGTAAGTCTTGGAACCAAATTGGCTCCAAAATGAATAAGAATTGAAAAAAAAAATGTGGTTGTCAGAAAAATCGTACTATTTTTTCTTCAAAAATTGTCAGTTCAAACCCCGTACGGACGCCACTAGTGAGAATTTTTAAATATCTTTCACGTTAAAAAATGCTCCTTAATAAAGAAAAGGTGTATACAAAATATCATAACAATATCTAAGAGTGATAAAAAATTATGATGAGAAACTCATTTTTTTCTAGAAATTTCATCACCCTGTAGCTCAATAACTAAGAGGTTTAGGACATATGTTGATGTGAACTTTTCTCTTTGAAATCATCCAAGGATTATCGCCCTTAAGGATCAGCATTCAATTATGAAACACCCTGTATATGAGGGTGCATTGGAAAATATTCATCATTTCAAATACATTGTTGATGTATACAGAGATGATAAAACACTAAAACACGTTGAAGTGGCAAATTACCAAGAAAATCTTGAAGTATATAGTAGCAAGTAAACATCCTGCTTATATCTAACCAATCAATCTCCTATTGAAATTACAGAATGCAAGTATATGAAGATAGAGAATAGATGAAGAACGATCTTATCGATATCGTTATTCAAAATTCAGTTCAGGAATGTGACACAACAGTAATGCATCTCTCAAATCATAATATATAGTGTGAACCTTGCTCTAATTATTATATATATTTGCAAACCACATATTGCTTAACATCTCTTGTAACACAAAGAAGAACCAGCATCTGAGATCTTCAGCGGAGACAGCTTTATGGTATACCGATGCTAATGGGTGTACCAATTCTAGGTACTGATTCGATACACTTCGGTTCCAAGCTCTAGTGTAGTACAGTCAATATAAAAGCGGATCAGGATATGATATATTATGGAACATGTCAAATCATCAGAGAAATTGATTTCAGTATACGATAATTTTCAAAATTAAAAATTTATAATGAAAACTTTGTCAACTTCAATTTGATTAATTTTTGATAGACCTATATTGACGGTTCTGCGTAGAATTTACAACGATGAAGCTTCGTATTTAAGTTTCCGATGTGTTCCTCCATTGAATCAATCAATCAATCAATCAAATCTCCATTCCTCTAGACAATGATAAAATTGTGTCGGAAATGTCAGAAATCTTGAAAAATACATAAAATACACAATACATAGATACACAGAAACGAAATACAATTCAAAAAAATATCACGTACTGCGGACAATCCAAGAAATCTTGCACATTATAAACAGAATTCTTCACCAGAAATTTTTTGAGGCACGTGTCGAAAATATTGAGTGTTAAACTTGATTTAATATATGCTCAGATAATTAATTGAAAATACGTGGTCCTATAAAGTTAGGTGCATTTTGGGCTACTTTGTATTTTCCATAATTTGTGTGTGAATTAAGCCTTTCTGGCGTGTATTCATGTTATGGATGTCTTTATCAAGCTTGAAATAGGTTATATGTTGCAATAAATGAAACAACATGCAATATCAAATATGTATATACAGGGATTCTATAAATGATCGTAACATCATAGTAGCCGTTGAAATATTTTCTCCATTTTCCGCCTTTCATTTATGGAGATTCACACATTCGAATTCAATTTCTGACATCAGGCATACTGTCATAGCTGATAAACTCACAATTGTCAGTTTTTCGTTAAAATTTTCAAACGATTCTGTTTTCTACTTCGTTATTGTCGTGTTGAAAAGAGGGATGGCTTATTCCTCGAAGCAGAATACATTTATTGTAATGTCTTATTGTCGAAATGGCACATTCATCAATGATGGATGGAGTTACTCGGTAGTAGCCTGATGCAAGGATGAATACCTGGCGAAATATCCTAATGTACAGATTCAAGAATCTTCTTCCACATCAAAACAGTGATCAACAGATTCATCCAAACTGGAAACGTTGATGAGAAAAAATCAACAGGAAGGCCCCAAATATCGGAAGAAGTTGTCGGAAACCTAAGGGCGCGTGTTGAGCAAAATCCCCAAAACGTCATTGAAGAAATTATCTTTACAATCTGGTGTGCCACTAAGTACATGCCATAAAGTTCTCAAGAAAAGATTGCATATGCACCCTTACAAGACCAGTGTACCACAGCAACTTTTGCCAATAGTTATCCCACGTCGTCTGAAGTACTACCAATGGTTCCAAAATAATCTCAACGATGACCAGCTATTGGACCTTTACATAATGACATAAATGGGGAATTTCATTGGAATTCTGCTATAATTTTTGATAAAAAGGAACGTATGTTTCAATAATTTTTAAATGGCCCTGGTATAAGCCTCATCAAATGAATGTCAAATAATAATAAACAACTGACATTTTTTATTTGTCATTCTGAATCACCGTAGCAACAATAGAAGAATTAACCTGCCACTCAAAACACTACCTTGTCAAAACTTGTCTAAGGTATATACAGGGACTCTATACCTTTTCAACTTCAATTTCGGAATCGGTGAGTTATATTTCGGTTAAAGTAATCTCGATTTCAGAATTGGTTAGTTCGATTTCAGAAATGGTAAACTCAATTTCAGAATTGGTGAGATGAATTTCAGAAAAAGTCCATTCAATTTCAGAAATGGTAAGTTGTATTTCAGAATTATTATTGGTAGAGGTTCAATTTCAGAAGATGAAATCCTTTTATATGTTTGAAATGTTTTTAATTGCAAAAGAGAAGATTGTTTACAGTGGATGAACGGTGTTTGAGAGCCCTATGTTGAATCAGATTGAACATATATGGGGTGCCTTCAAGTCAGAAGTGAAGAGCTTCTTGCAAGAGCATCGCCAAAGGGTCATAGCTGGGGATCCGAACAGCTTGCTCAGCCAGATAGAATTCAGACTGCGATGTCTTGAGGAATGTGCAGATCATTCAATGAAAATGATAACACCTCAAATGTGTTTGCATTCTCATAATCATGTGCAACGCTATTATCTTCCAGCGATTCGGATGGAAGGCATCTGTGGATTAAATTGAGATTATAATTATGTTATTGAATTGTTTTTGACAAGTTGAATATTGTAAATATGGTTTGTTAATCTCACATACAATTGGAAACATTTCGAACAAATATAAGGATTTTTTTCTGAAATTGAACCTACCAATTCTGAAATACAACTTACCATTTCTGAAATTGAATGGACTTTTTCTGAAATTCATCTCACCGATTCTGAAATTGAGTTTACCATTTCTGAAATCGAACTAACCAATTCTGAAATCGAGATTACTTTTTCCGAAATTGAAGTTGAAAACCAATTTTACTGTTGCCAGCATTCTCGAGTGATATAATTTTCCATGGATTCTTCAGACGAAGATTTGCCAGAGGCAGTTTTGGAAGCGGCTAGAACTGCAAACTTGGATCTACTACCATCAAAATCCCGTAATAGGAATGAAAAGGAATATAATTTGTTTGAAAACTGGTGCCAGAATAAGGAAATCGAATGAAGCCTTCCGAAATGACCTCTTCCAGCCAAGTTCCGATGGCCACGGTTGCTGACAAAGCAATGGAAAACCGTAATATTACTTCATTAAAAAAAATTTTAGCTTCTGCAATTAAATTGCACGTTTAATATTAATATTAATAATAATTAATTTGCAAACTTTGCATTTAATAATGAATGTTTCTTCATGTTAACACTTGGGTTTTTTCCGCACGCTAGTAGAAGAAATAGTGTACCTAACACGTTCGTAAAGTGTCACTTTCCGCACTTGTTAGGTAAACTATACTATTTCGTCGCTTGATTCCTTTTCGCATAACTGCGTCCAATTCAGAAAAGAAAATTCCGGAGTTCAAAGTATAGAGTCGAATTTAAAGAAAAAAGTCTAAATTCAGTGGCTCGTCTACGCGTATTTCAGTTTTCGAAATGGACATACCTACTCAATCAATTAGGCACTCTTTTTTTTTATCTAATGTCTCGCCAAAACAAAAGCAGTGCATTATGCAATTGGTGTCGTGAAGAAGATACACTTTTACAAACAATCCGATAAATAAACCAATTACACGCGTGAAAGGCACAAAATTGTCATCTCCGCTTCTGTTGTTACGCAGACTAAATGTAACACAATGCCGCATTGCATTCCCCCGCAAAAATACTATCAGCGATTGAAAATCATTGCAAAAATCCTGCCAAATACATGAATGTGAATCACGATCCAATAAGTATATAAACTAGGGGGATCTTCTTTGGATTCATTCAACCGTTAGCGGTCAATCGACTTCTTGTGTTCATCTCCTATTTGCAGATAGGAGCCCTTTTCATTCAAAGTTTGGTTGTGTTTATTTATATTTTGGAAATATCGCAATATGAACAAGGTAAGATCACAGCTTTTTGAAATATTTCCAGTATGCTTGATTTCCACTGAATTTCTTCAGAGTTTTCCAACTTTCAAGCAACCTTCGGGATCAATAAAGTTCCAATATACAAGGCTCGAAAGTAAGCAAAATGTGCCTTCCTTCCTTCCTAAGGGAGCTACGCTCCTTTGAAAAGGACAGGGTACCTTGAATACGATTTTTTCTCTTAATTCTGAGACCCTTTACAATTATTGAATTTTGGAAATTGGCGTACGGTATGATCATTTGAAAGGTAAATGACATTCTGAATCCGAAATTGTTGAATGAGATGTTAGTAAAAAAGGGTTGTCTTTTCTTCTTTGGTTATGTGGAATAAATTTCATCAAGAAACGTACGCAAATCTGAAAGTTTTATTCAATCGAATTGAACTAAGAGTATCATTTTCAAGTTGGAATTCTCTAGAATGTTATAATTTTCAAACGAAATCATAATTACCAATTTTCGGAATTTAGGTAATTGTGGAAGCTTTCAAAGTTATAGATAAGGAATCGTCTTCATGTTGCCCTATTCAAATAAAGGTGTTCTGTTATAGAAACCATTTTTGGGATCTATATCAATAGAAACTTTTTGCCTTATTTTTATACAAGGATTACGCTTCCAAAAGGATGCCGCTTACTTTTGAATCACCCTGTATTGGTTTGGAACTTTCAACAATATTTTGGAAAATTCAGAAGGTGATTTTTGAATCACGTATGAGCACCTTATTCTTATTTTCTGTCATCGGACTTCTCGAGAATTCGGTAAATTTACATAGACTCCAAAAAAAATTTTGAAATATTATTGTCACAGTCTCAGAAAATAGCTTAGAGCCATTGCTCATCTTTCATAAAATAACGAACCACTATACAAATGTTACCAACCTTTGAAATTTTTCGAAGAAATATCGCTGTAATGACCATCATTCATTCAAGAAGTTATTTCAAAGTTGATAATAGTTATTGATCCACCAAGGTAGTAAAGAATATCAGCATTACCCAGGGACCTCATACCCCTCGGCTGAAGCCTCGGGTCCTTGGGTAAAAATGATATTCTTTACTACTTTGGTGTTTAAATAACTATTTTTCACCACTAACAGTATATTAAGATCACTATAGTTTTGTGAAACTGAAATATAGACCTATTATCACTATAAAAGCACTGCTTGTCAATTCTGATCAAAATCTAGTAGCCATAACCATGACAGCTTATGTCACGTCGTTATTGATATGTACCTACTAGATTCGAGTGCTATTCTTGCGAATCTCGCCTGAGAACAGTGAATTTGGGTTAATTATATCAGAATTGTCTATGTCTTCTTTGACTAGTGCTTCATAAAATGACGAATACTACCTAGGTAGTAAAATCACACTTTACGCCTTGAAAAGGAATAAATAATGGTAGGTTCTAGAGCTAGTGATAGAAAAAAACGTTCACCCCACATTTACCATCGAATCGATACATGATCACGTCGAATTGATGTTATTAAAACGTATTCATATATAAAGTATGCATTATACAGTGTGTCCCAGCTAGAATTTGTCACTCCCCTTACCTCAGAAGTCTTTAGAAAAATTGAACATCGCTCAGACATGTCGATTTTAATTTGGTAGAAAACACAGTTTTCTGTAACTATCATACCCCAAAGTTGAAATTCTTATGTATTTCATTGCATCTTGAGATTTTTCCTGATGAAGAGCAGATTACATCCATGTATCACACTTGGAAAGCTGAATTGATTGCAGAGATTAAGGGTGAATCAAGATTTTTCAATTCGAGGAATTTTTTTTGTCGAAACTATTCATCATTTGTCAAAACGGCTTTCATGTCCCTATCTTAACTTGTGATTTAATATCTACTGACATTGAATTGGAACAGATACAAGGTGATCAGAATTTTGTTCCAATTAAATGTTAGGAGATAGTTAATCAAAAGTTGGGATAGTCGTTTTGACCGGAAACGAATAGTCTCTGTAATCATTCCCGCTAAATCCCAGTTGTGATACATTGATGAAATCAGCTTTCCAGCGAGAATCCAGAGATGCAATTAAATACAGGGTGTTCCATTTGAAAATCGGAAGTTGAAGGTTTCAAAAAAATATGTCTCCCGCCAAATTAAAATGGGGGGGATTGACAAGTTTTAGATGGGACACACGGTATACAGGGTCTCAATTGGGAAACTTTCAAGTGCAAAATGAAAATGTTGGCAGGTTAGCACGAATGTTATGGAGCTAAGGGCACTGAAACCACCATGTTCTAGTGAATGTGAACTGGCTCTACCCCTCTTGGGGTAGTCCAAATGAAGAATCGTATTTGGCAGTGTATTCACATGTAGAATAATTTCCTTTTTCATCAAATCAAAGAATGGGTATTATAGATGTTCTCATATTCCAATAGTACTGAATTATTTCATTTCCTATTGAACGATTTTTGAAGATCATTCTCAAACTAGTGGGGTACAGATGAGGAGACCATAGTGTAGGGGTCAAAAATGTGAAACATTCCGGATAAAAATTCAGACGATGAACAGCATTTGATCGGTATGTTTTTTACCATTGCCATAATCGTCATCCGAAGATAGGCCAATTAATTCAAGTTCGAGTTGATTTCTTGATTTCAAGTTGATTTTATGCATTCATTTTATGTATATTTTTGTTTCAGATATTACCATTTCTGTTGGTGATATGTATCTCACTAGTCAGTACAGAACCACCAGTGAATTCCTATCTGCCGCCATCAAGTGAGTATATACCTACGGAAGAAAAAAAATGAATATTTTCTGAATGATATTTCACTGTAATTTATTTCAAACCTCTTGATATCCCAATGTCTATAGTGGTTTTTACATGCACATTGATTACGGAGGTACATTTTATTGTATTTTGCATCAAATACTTGGTGAAATATGCAATTATTGAAAGAATGATGATTAACTGATATATCAAAATGGAAAATATCAACTCAAATTCCTTTTTAGTTGAGCTACACATATTTTCTTTCGATTTCCTAATAGTTCTTTGTACAATAATATATATGAAGAATGGCGTGAATTGATTTCCTTGAGAATTTTATTTTTCACGTAACCTCAACATATATTGTCTTTTACCCATTCAGCCATAACATGGAGTTATTAACTTCATTATGCATATTGACTAGTGATTCGTATTATTATCGATATCGTATATGATTATGCAATAGAGATGATTTTCTGGGTCGGATATGAATTGTTAATGTAATAATTCTTCGTTATTATAGTCGTGCGAATCAAACCAAATTTGGACTGGTATTAATAACCATCAATATGATCAGTTTTTCAGAGTCAAACATCATTATTGAAATATAAATGCGGGTCTATTGCTCATGAAATCATATAAGGATTTTTTTTGCAGAAAATCCAACTCCATATTATTGTTCCTTATGGTTTTGCAAAAAATCACCTCATTCCGAATTAACAGGATTAGCTTCATGTTTTTTTTCTACCTCGTAAAAATAGTGAATTCGCATTTGAATACAATCAATGGCACGTTCAATAGCTCCAATAGGTAGAAAATCATGGTTTGGAAGAAAAAGCAAGTTATACTCATTTTTGTTGAGCGCACTGTTTCGTAGTAAATAATTATTTACTTACGTTCAAAAAATGCTGTTTAGATGTGCCTGTTGCTCATTGAAATTATATGAAAATTGATGTATGTTGGTTTGAAACCATGAAGAACAATATTATGATGTTAGTTTTTGCGTAATAAAAACACATGGCACTGTCCAAAATGATGTTTGTTTCTGAGAAACTGATCAAATTGATGGTTTTTCATACTAGTCCAAATTTGGTGAGAATCGCACGACTAATAGCTGAGGGGGAGTGGGCTTTAAAGTGAGGCAGGGTGTATAGAATGATGAAATGATAATCGTCTATAGAAAATGACACAAAAATGCCTGTCTGAGGGAATTTTGGAGTTTTCAGTATCTTCATAGTTTTGCAAAAAAAATCGATATCTCTTCTGTTGCGTACTTAATTGGTATTGCCAAGAATGAATGAGTTTCCTGGCAATATGAGTGATTCCACTAGATTTCCCCGATATTTCTATTCCAAAATCAGGCTTTTGTTAGATATCAATAGTCCTGACAATTTTCTAGAAACATGATCAATTAAAAAGGAATGAGCATTGATGTCCTCAACAAATGTTAAGATAAACTGTACCAAAATTACGACCTTGAACAAATTTCTTGTCCAAAGTTAACTGTACCTACATAATGATTTGAAAACTCTGATGTTATGGATCAATCGAAAAACTGATTGTCGTTTCGCAACTTACTTCTCCAAGAAATCACACATTTCACTTCAATCAACGTATTATAGATGGAGGTCCTAGTGAAACATACGGTCCTCCGGGATACCAACCTGGAACTCCTTTAGGAAATGGCAACGGCAATGGAAACGGCAATGGTAATGGAAACGGTAACAAAAACGGAAATGGATCACCACCAGGAATAGTATATGGCCCTCCATCTAACGGAAACGGCAATGGGAATGGTCACAGTAATGGTAACGGCAACGGAAATGGAGTAGGTAAGAATCGTATTTCATTGTTGGATAGGAACAGTCGTCTTCAGAGATCATGTCGCGGTTGGACGTTATCAAGAATGCTATATCATCGTCCATGTGCGACATGTTTTCTGAAGACGACTGTATATTATATCTATACAGGGTGTTAACAAATGAGTATCGCAACAAAAAACTTCAGATTCCTCATGAAAAGAGAGACATTTTGTTCCTCTTGCGACATTTAATTAAAAATTTCATTTGACAGTTCTCAGGTGAATTATTTCCAGTGGATTTTGTATGTTTTAGTCCATAAGAAGCCATTATTCTCGAAAACTGTTCATTCTAGCGCATTAAAGCATTAGGACCTTTTTTTGAAACATATTGGCGCTTCAGAACGTGCTTCAAATATTACAATTTTTTTAGTGGCATAAAAGTTTTGGGGATGGAACCTTTGCGAGGCATTGAAGTCACCTCCACTGACATGTCCAAGAAAATTGATTGAGAGCCTTAAAAGTAGTCATTATTGATGAAGAAGTGGGTACGAAGGCTAAGCTCTGCAGCTCAAACGGTTCCTGAGATAAGAGCAAACAACTGAATTTTTCCATATTTTTGACGCCCTCTATCTTGAAAATCTCAATTCAACTATACATCACCATCGATATAGCTTTATAGTCGAAATTGAATAGTGTATTAAGTAACAAGTGTAATAAACGAACTTTCAGTAACGAGTATTTCAAGCACGTGCGTAGCAGAGTAGAAAAAGTGTTTGATAAACGAGAGTCTAAAAGAGTTTAAAAACGCGTTACATACAATACTTTCTCTACGAACTCATAACTCATCTCTTCGACAAGATTCCATAATTCCGAAACTTAGATCAGCCTACCTGCTTACTAAGTATTTTTGGTTGTAGATGTGTCCAGTCCATACTATGGACCACCGGACTGATTTGATTCACTTTAACTATAAGCAAAGATTATGAATACCAATTATGAAACTGAAAATCCATGTAGCTCATCTTCAAAAATAATGTAAATGATAATGATAATTACAAACATCCTTTCTCAGGAGGTAATGGATATAACCCTGAAAGTGACCAACTTCCTGGAACTAGCTATCTCCCGCCTTCCAATGGTAATGGTAACGGCAATGGAAACGGTAATGGCTATGGAAATGGTAACGCCAATGGTAATGGCAACGGTCGTCCAGGTTCCTCTTACCTTCCACCAGGTAAAACAAATCTATTTCCGGAAAATTTCCATGATCCATCAACCTCTTTTAATCTTGTAGCAAATGGAAATGGCAGACCTTCCACAACTTATGGTGCGCCTAGTAACGGCAATGGTAATGGTCACAGCAATGGAAACGGAGGTAATCAATGATATTTTCTTCCGCACTTTGTAACAAACTAGTTAATAATGGTCAAAGAAGTCAAGTCAATTTCAATATTTAGCAATGGCAGATATAAGGTTGATATTGATTCTATCACACTATCAACGACTCAATTTGTTCAGGAAATGGTAACGGCAATGGAAGACCGAGTTCGACTTATGGTGCTCCACTCAATGGCAACGGAAATGGTAACGGCAACGGGAATGGCAACGGCAATGGTAATAAATCCTCACAATGGCACACATAAAAATAAGTAATTAGAGTAATTCAATATCATAATCATTCCATTGACAGGTCGTCCAGGTGCAAAGTATTTACCACCATCAAACGGCAACGGTAATGGTAATGGCCTTCCAGCACCTGTTTATGGTCCACCTACTAACGGTAATGGCAATGGTAATGGCGCACCAAAGAATGGAAATGGTTACAGCAATGGTAACGGTAAAAGCTCTCATATATTGAAATTCTATCAATCCACAAATCGAATACAAGGTCTCACCAGTATAAAACATAATTTCATGAGAGCTTGAACATACGAAATACATCTGTTCAATATGATTCCACTTATAGGTCGACCAGGAGCATCATACTTGCCTCCAGGAAACGGTAATGGTAACGGTCACCCCACCAACGGAAACGGCAATGGCAACGGCAACGGAAATGGCAGACCAAGCAGCACATATGGAGCTCCACTAAACGGTAATGGCAACGGAAATGGCAATGGAAAAGCAGCCAACGGAAATGGTAACGGACGTCCAGCACCAGCTTATGGCCCACCCACAAATGGCAACGGTAATGGCTACAGCAATGGCAATGGAAAACCAAGCAGTTCATATGGAGCTCCACTCAATGGTGTCCCACCTACGAATGGCAACGGTTACTCGAATGGAAATGGCAACGGCAATGGAAACGGAACTCCTGCGCCTGTTTATGGTCCACCAGCTAATGGAAACGGTAACGGCAATGGCAATGGTTACGCAAATGGAAATGGCAATGGAAAAGCCAATGGTAATGGAAGTCCAAAACCTGTGTACGGTCCACCTGCAAATGGAAATGGCAATGGCAATGGTTACGCGAATGGCAACGGAAATGGCAATGGAAAATCCAATGGTAATGGTTACGCGAATGGCAACGGAAATGGCAACGGAAACGGAATTCCTGCACCTGTGTATGGTCCACCAGCTAATGGCAATGGCAATGGCAATGGTTACGCGAATGGCAACGGAAACGGTAATGGAAAATCCAATGGTAATGGTTACGCGAATGGCAACGGAAATGGCAATGGAAAATCCAATGGTAATGGTTACGCGAATGGCAACGGAAATGGCAACGGAAACGGAATTCCTGCACCTGTGTATGGTCCACCAGCTAATGGCAATGGCAATGGCAATGGTTACGCGAATGGCAACGGAAACGGTAATGGAAAATCCAATGGTAATGGTTACGCGAATGGCAACGGAAATGGCAATGGAAAATCCAATGGTAATGGTTACGCGAATGGCAACGGAAATGGCAATGGAAACGGAAGTCCTGCACCTGTTTATGGTCCACCAGCTAATGGAAACGGTAACGGCAATGGTAACGGTGGATATCCTAGTGGAGGACCCAATGGTGGAGGAGAAGAAAATGGGGTGAGCCGTAAGATTATGATAGAAGTACACTCTTCAAGTGTACATTCATTATTATAGATAGAGGAACAAATAGTAATCAAAATCGATAGTGTCTGAAACTTTTACTTTGGAAAATTCTGACATTGTATGAAAACATACTTCCAGTAGACACTCTCACGAAATACTCTTGAACACAATAAATTATTTCACAGACCTCAAGTTATCAGGAAATTCATTGAATATTTTAGGTCCAAAATGCAGTCAGGTGCAGATGAACTCAGTTTATATAAACCTTGCTAACGGAATATGGAGGTGATGTTTAATTCTTGGATATGTAGATTTTTTTCCGTTTTATTTCAGAAAACATGATATTATTATACACATAATCCGAGATACATACTTGAACATACTCCTACAATTTACAGAAACTAACGTCATACCTCAGAGAACTGAGCTTGAAAGTTAATTGCTGACAATGAGCCTTTCAGTTGAGGAGAAAAATACCCAAGAACCTTATAATCTGATCAGTTTTTCGTAATTTCAAACTGTCAACAGTGGAACTGAAATCTAATATCTATATGAAAGAGTTATTATTGTTGATGTGGACAACGGACAGTATATTCAGTATTTTTATAGGCACCTGCGAAATACGAGTTCGAGTACCAAGTGAACGATCCAGAAAGTGGGAACGATTTTGGTCACAAGGAGCAGAGAGATGGAGACCTAACCACAGGCGAGTACTACGTAGTACTGCCGGACGGCAAGAGGCAGCTTGTGCAATATGAAGCAGACACTGATGGATACAAACCAAAGATTAGCTACGAGGAAGGTAGAAAGAGAGGTTTTCGATTCGTCTGCTTGTCGCTTTCATATTGCACACTAACCAAAGCTTATTCAGGCATAGGCGGAATTTTCCATACTGTACAAGACCCCTGATGAATTCGTCAACAGGTCTAGTATGGATTCAAAAAATTACGTTCAGCTTGCTGCTGCATCTAACCGAACATGATACTGAACAATATCTGTGATATACCAACTATAAACAGGTTGATCTACCAACTCATTGAGCAAACAATTGATATTCCATATCCACACCTATATACAGGGTGTTTCGAAATTCGACCGACAACGTTTGACAGGTGATAGCCCTCGTGATTTCATAATCATTGAGATAGGAACATTCGGTCTTCAAGTGTTCAGTTCTCGAGATACAGGGCGTTGAAGTTGAGAAATGAAAATAGTTGTTTCGCAATATCTCAAGAATAATTGAATATAATGCATTCAACTTCGGTATATGGTTTCATCTTTGAATGGGCCATTTTTTGACCTGGAAGCCATTCCGGACGTTTTGTCCAGTGGTGCCCTACAGGGGGTTGTGGCATTTTTTCCTTCCATATTTTCTACGCCACTGATTGAATTTCGATTATCTCCAATTCCTCGAATTCATTGTTCAATTTTGTTCAGAAAATGCATCACCTTCAACTGAGCTGAAATAAACAGTTTTCGAGATATTCGACCCAAAATAGAAGATTGCATAGTAATATTTCATCAAATATTTTTCTGGTGTTGAGTAGATTAGATACTATTCAGATCTCATGCTATAGCTGAACAGAAATAGTTATTCCACGCATAAAGAGAGAACAAAAATGTTCGTAATTTTCTAATACTGAGGAAGATGAAAAATTACTATGCAAACTTCTATTTTGGGTCAAATATCTCGATAACTGTTCATTTTAGCTTAGTTGAAGGTGATGCACTTTTTCAACATAATTGAACAATCAATTCGAGAAATTAGAAATAATTGAAATTTCATCAGTGGCGTAGAAAATATGTGCGGAAAAGTTATCACAACCCTCTGTAGCGCACCTCTGGATAAAATTCTCGGAATGTCTTTCTGGTCAAAAAATTAACCATTGGAAGATCAAACCATATACCGAATTTGAATGCATTTAATTCAATTTTTCATGAGATATCGAGAAAAAACTATTTTAATTTCTCAACTTCAACGCCCTATATCTCGAGAACTGAACACTTCAAGACCGTCTGTCCCTATCTCAGTGATTATGAAATCACGAGGGCTATCACCTGCCAAGCGTTGTCGGTCGAATTTCGAAACACCCTGTATATATGTATTCGATGTGTACGATTTCATCCCGCAACATCCTCCTAATTTAGAACACGTCGACCGAATTTGAAAAACAGACATTTCACAATACAGTACTACTACTGAAAATGTGGGAAAATCTGAAATATTAAGATTTTCAAGGCCTATACTTTTGGTTTTTGATTAGGTCAAAATTTCAAAATCTACTATCAGGTAATTTTCTTCCAAAACAGTGATTAGCCAATTAGATTCAATTTAGGCATAGCTGAAATACATTAATACAACATATGAACGCAATATCTCATTAGGGTATTCGGTATTCGAAGGCAAATTTCAAAATTATCGCTTTTTCGGAGTTGATATAACCGGGAAAGTTGTTCAATGAGGAAAGAAAGACAGAATACTTAGATACAAAATCTTTTCATTGTGTGCTCTACCGGAAGATGTCTCTAGATTTCTAGGTCAACCAAAAATCAATAAAACTGAAGTTGAGGTCCACCATTTTTGAAAATCGAGAAAATTGTTTTTCACACACTTCACTTCACAGTTACTCTGAAGATCGTCTAGATGAATAAATAGCCGACGAATATAACATAAATATAATGACAGACAAACACTCTGCAAAGACTGCAACAATAAGATGTAGTATGTAGTGACTAGTGATGCTTGATGTAATCATCATAATTAACCGACTTTGAAGAAATGGAATGAAAATTTTAAATGCATAACATCGGAATTTGTTGTGTATAGAGAATATTTCCTCGAATGAGTTACCATTCTTTATATTTCCAGGAGAAAAATATGGATCAAAATGAAAAAAATTCTCAACTTCATTTTCATTAATTCTCTGTTGACTCAGAGAGATTTTCCTGTAGGTATAGAAGTTACAACTTAGAATCTAAGTATTTGATGCTTTTCTTCATTCAATTACTACTTCATCGGTTACATCAACTTCTTAGATTTTGATACAGAATTAATCAAAATATCTAAAATATCAAATGTTGCCATTGAATAACTCACAACATATATGAGATAGGTATTGCGTTACAATTTTGGTATGGATGCACTTCAGTGTCAGTCAATGTTTCGAGAAAAATGCCTAATAGTCGTATTCAAAATGTTGACCTCTTCAACTAACACAAATTGGCCATGCAAATCTGAATAATTCTTCATTTTCGAATGAGTTGATTACGTCGTTAAGAAATTTTTGTAATCGCAAATCTTTCGATGGGCTCTAAGTTAGGAGGGTGTTGCGGGTTGAAATAGCACATTCTGTATATTTGCAAATTGATCAGACCGAGAATACAATATATTCTCTAACTGAAAATTTATCAATATCAGTAAATGTATTGTAGTTGATATCAAGAATTCCTGTATTCAAATTATAAGTTCGTCACATGAGTGGAGTGTTACCGTTCCTGACTCATCTCTTATTTTTTAGTAGGAAACGGCAATGGCAATGGTAATGGTGGATACCCAAGCGGAGCACCCAATGGTAATGGAGGATATCCCTCGAACGGTAACGGCAACGGAGGCTACCCATCCAACGGTAACGGCAACGGAGGCTACCCATCGAACGGTAACGGTAACGGAGGCTACCCATCGAACGGCAACGGTAATGGTAACGGTAACGGAAATGGTAACGGAAATGGAGGCTACCCTTCAATCAGTAATGGCAATGGAAACGGTGGTTACCCATCAGGGAGTAATGGTAACGGAGGATATCAATACTGATTGTTCAAACGCAGGGTTATTTTCTGATAGGGTACATGAGTTGATGAAAGTATTGGGCTTGTGCGAAATAGGTATAGTAATGTGATGGATCTGCGATTTTTGTATTCAATATTGTTCTGAGTGGGTTTGAATAACCTGAAATTATACGCTTATGAATCTGTAAGGAATTGAGTATTAACTATAGTTGTATTCCGCATTGATACTGAAATATTTGGGAAATCTTGATGAAAAACATCTTCATTTAGCACTATGACTGATGGATAGCTCAAATAGTTTTGTACATAATGTTATTTATTGTAATATTGTTTCAAGATTTTGAATGTTTTATTATATTAGGAAAGTTTCATAACTGTTGACGACTGCACTGCATTAGGAGAAGATGTATATAGTATATTATATATAATTTCGAATTCAATAAAGAAATTTTATGTGATATCATTCTTTTCCTTCGAATTCCACTGGTGAAAGTACCTCAGACCTTATTCTATCCTGAAATAATGAATTATGCGATGAGTTGATCCCACATAAGTTTTGGAGTTCTTCAACTCATGTGGGATATTCATTTGACAATTCCTCATAGCTATTCACTATATTATATCATATCAGATAACACTGTTGATTTTTTATCCGAGAAAAAATTTGAAGAAACGTGCATCCCGATAGATATTCAGTTCTTCTGATGATTATTTTCGATTTTCGAAAATATTCCACAGTAAAAAATCTACTTATTCAAAGTATATGTATATTTTTCTCAGTGTATGTTCATTCGAAACATAGTATTGAACGAGAATAATGTATACTACACTAGAAACTCCAGTCATGTAATGTTGGTAATCTATCTTGTATATATTATATGGAATCTCCTAAAAGATAGCAACGCATATTGTTGGATGATGACCAAGACATGATTCGATGAGCAATAGTAAACTATTATATCCTTTTAAGGCACATGGTTATGCAAGTATAGCTTTGCCTACTTCAATCTGAACCTTTTTTTTTTCATTGAAGTCAACATATTCATCATAATAATATAGCAGAAATTCGAAAAATATGGAGGGTTCCTAGCAAAAACAGAATTTGTGGAAAACAATCAATTTAAAGGAGAGCGATAAGATTGATTATCTTGAAACAGGTTAAATTTTAAGAGAAATGATTTGTCAAAAAAGTATACCTACATTCTGAGAAATAGTTATTTATTATACAAGGGAAAAAAGTAGTAGATTTAACTCCAGGTTGTGTTGACAAAAAACCGTGAGCTTAAATCTAATATTTTTCCCGTGTAATACACTATTTTTTTCTGTGACAGAAGAAAGGACGAATCAATATTGAGAAGATATTACAATATTTTGAAATCTCAAAATTATCGACGTGAAATTTAAGTTTTTAACAGTAGGGACACCTGCGTTGTAGGCATCTTTATCATTCTTTTGAAGTAATCAAATATCTGATGTCACTTCTGTCAGTCTAATTCTGTGATTTGATTTAAAAAAATTGCGAATTTAGTGGTTGTTTAGTAATATACGTAACAGCGAAGTCGAATGAAGATAAAAGGACTTGCAATTCTTTCTCGGAGACGGTATTATTGACTCAACAGTGTATATATATATATATATATCCAGGAAAAAAGTAATTCATGAAAAGTGACATTTTATAACCTGCCAACGAAGATGAAATGCCAAACTTTTTTCCCGTCACAGAAAAAAAATATATTCTAGTTTGCTGCATGAAATCTTTTCTATTTTTCAAGAATACAAACGAAAATCATTGCCTACTTGAAAAACGCAATGAGAAGCAAGGAAGGAAATATTGTTTTGCATTTGTAACAAAAACAATAATAGCACCATATATTTCAACCATGCAAGTCACCCTAACATAATATACTTGATTCTCATTAGAAATAGTTGTAATAGGAATGAAGATATAGATATTATGTTTAATTCCAATGTTATACCGAATACCGATTACTAAAATATTCAATTTCTTGACAAATGTTGTATTTGCTGAAAACCTTTCACATTCAAGCGAGTACCTATACCATTATGAAACATCAAGTACAAAAGAATTCAAATTTATAAAACACCATGAACCCTAAATCGCTGAAATGAACCGTAATTGGCAATAAGGAAATAAATGATGATTACGAATTTACCCGTATCGGACAAAACCGCTTTCATTGGAATTCTGATAATAAATGAGGAGCCATGTAGGTGTTTAACATACACGATAATAGTAAAAGTAAACTCTGTGTTCGAGGATATTTTAATCTGAAAATCGATAGCACCAAATATAATCAGCATATGATTATACACAGGCTATTGAATGTCCCTCTTTCGGAAGTAAATTTCAATAAAGAAGTCAATATCATAAAACAGATAACAGTTCAATCAATCAATCAATCAATCAAAACTGAGCTTTATTGTCCAAGAAACATTCTTCCTATTGACAAAGCGTGAAACTAGCAAGTGGATAGATCCACTATGTCCAATTATTTGTACAGTTAACAACGGATACACCGTTAATTTGATAGACGGTATTCTTCCTAAAAAACTCCATAATAAAGCTATTGAAGAAGTTGATTCTACCATCAAGAATAATAATCAAAATCATAGAACTTCAACCTATTTCGGATCATCAACTGAAAAATTAACTTCATTTGTATATATACATGACCAGGACTTAAAAGTAGAATATATAAGAAAAAACACGTTGGGAAGGTTTACCAGAGATAATGAAGACAAAGCTTTTAAATTAGAAAAATCAGGGGCCCCTCAGATGATTACAGTACTCGCCTTCGGCTCGTACTGCAACTTCCATCTTCGTGGGTAATAGCCGCATCATTATGCGCTCGTTGAATAATATACTATTATTATCAGATGACGGTAGAAATCTGTAGCCGGCTGAGCCGGCTCTCCTACTATATCAATCAAATTAACTGTTTCTTTTTCCGAAAACATGCAGTTAATCCGTTGCTTGAATTCACTTGTGAATTTGTTATCTGCTACTAATTTCTTGATATTGTTAATTTCAACATGGATTTTCATTATGAAACAGATTCCGGCCAATGAAAACACGTTTTTTCGTGAAATTAATTTCAAGTTTTTCCATTGGCAGAGTTGAGAAAATCCCATACCTGATGCAAATATTATGTCATAGCGTCATGGCATGAACCAGGTGTAATTAATTCCATTGCAATTTCGAGTACGAATTTTTAATTGTCAAATTAATTCAATATTCGATGTCAGAGAGAAGTGCACTTGATATTAATTGAAATGATAATTTAACCGTTATATCATTAAAAATCAGAATTTCACACCACATACTCTTACGGATGGATACACGTAGGTACCTATATCAGGTTGAAGTTCATTTTTGATGAAAAAATAAGATGCCCCTAGAAGTAATTAATATGATTTGATGAATGATCAACATGTCATCCTTCAAGTTTTTGGTTAGGTTTTGATTGACCCAAATTTTCAAAAGCTAATATTTCGAAAAATATTGAATTTAAGACCAAAGAGTGTATCAGATTGATATGTCAAGAATTATGAAGATTGTATGAAGATGGAATTATATATATATAAGGGGTGTTCCGTTTAAAAAAAATATTCAAGATGGCAAGCAGCTGCCATTTTGGAATCTTAAAGTCTCGTTTTCTTGTGAAAGAGTATTTTTTCAACTTCTATTTGAGTAAGTAAAAAATAAATAGATTTGAGATCCCTCACATATAGCTTTTTGATTCCATTACTTGATATTATTTTCTTTATGGATCAACAGATTCATTTTGTTTTCTATGTACTTATATATAGGTGATTTTATTTGGTATGCCAATGGTACGAGCAACTATACGTATATATACGTATATTTAAGGATTCTTAATATCTCATAACACTAGTTGGATCTGATTCAGATTTTGATTGTTATTATTCATAATAACAGTTCATGTTTGCATATTATATCAAAGTGAAGCAATTTTGGCCAAACGGTTTGAGTCAAGAAAAAGTTTTTTTAGAATGTTATTGTTCTCAAACCGTGAAACATTTTTGATTACAGATCACTAGAGTCATTATGAATTGATCGCTAATAAATTATAGGGTTTACAAGTAAATGCCGTTTCATATTCTATGTCATATATTAGTCTTCACCTCACAAGTTCTAGCCTTATTACATGGGCATCATTATAGATGGAAATTAATTATTTTCAGTACTCCACTTGATCTGAATGATTTTCCTTTCCCGTTACTAGAAATGATTTCAAGGTGATTCCATGAAAATGCTGAAGAAATCAATTCGGTACTTCTCGGGAATTGGTGAAATATCTTGTGATATCAAACTTCGGAAAATGTAGATTATAATTAATCGATTCACGGAATAAAAATGGGACACCATGAGGACGTACTTTCACAGAAAACATTTTCGAATGATAATACCAAATATACTTATAGTACTAGTCCTTTTTTGACCATCGACCTCACGAAAGGTCCATCAGCACATACGTGTTCTGTGTAGGCTTTGTTACTAACTATATACGTCACGTCAGCAACATTTCCAGCCCAGAGCTGAGATATTCAGAATTCATTACCTGCATCAGAACTAAATTGAAAATATCTGCTACTACTGGGGATGGAACCTAGAACTATATAGTTAATTGGTCGAGAGAAATTATTTATAAAATATTCCTGGCTATTGGTATGGGATATATTGCTCTGTGCACACAATAGCTTCATTAGCAATAACATGTTAACACATTATAAATGAACGTAGTAACATATTATCTATTGTTATTCGTTATAAATGTAACACGGATTGTGCATTATATAATGTTGAATTCAATGCTAAAAGCTATTATTATAATGCGATCTGTATCGTGCGGGAAAATTTTTCGTCGATCCAGATCAACAACAATACCATTTATTCAACATGGAAACATATATTATTGTGTAAATACTTTCGCTGATGCGAAATTCAGACATTTTGTTGGACAAGACTTGGTATACTTAATAGCCCAGAGTCTCATTCTGCTATCAAATCGTAGAAACCATCCATTTTTCTCAAAGTGGTCCAATTGATTTTTAAAGAAAACAATAATCGACCGACTTTGTGCTTTTTATTGTTTTTCCTAAAAAATCATTCTGATATGTTTTTTTTATGATATGAAAGATTGTATGTTCAAATTGTGAAGAGAATCACATATCAACATAGGTAATATATAAGAAATTTATGCATTGTTCATGCCTCATAATTTTTTT